CTGGGACCTGGGAACGAGGTCGCTGTGTTTTTTTCCGTTTTGGGCGTCGGGTCCGTGCGTCTCGTGCTTGGTTTGCAGTCTGATGCGGGTCATGCGCAGTCGCTATCGCGCTGCCTGTGTGTCATCGTCGCCGCGCGTCGATTCTGTAGCGGCTTGGCCCAATATGCTGAAATTTCTTGGGCAGAGCGGGGCCAGCGCTGCTGGGCGGTCAATTGCTGCGGCGGACCCGCCTTCGGGCTCACGTTCGGAGGCTCCATTTGCAAGTTTGTCCACGCTGCTGGAGCGAGCGGCTGCTGTTTCCAGGGCCGACGTGGACGCGGCATCGCTGCGCAGCCGGCTTCAGGAGGCAGGCGTTTCGAACAGCGATGATTTCCGTGGCATAACTGCGCTGGAAGCAGCGCTTATTTGGACACCTTTGGCCACCGTTCCCGAGACGTTCGTTCGCGCGCTGATTGATGCATGCAGCCCTGCAGCCCGAGTGGCAATGCCCCAGAGTATTAGTGGGGCAGCTGTCTCATCAAGCTCGCTTCCTGGTCGCCGGGGCGCAGCAGGCCCACGTTCACCGCCTGCGGCGCCGGAGACCGGAGCGACAGCTGAGGCGGTGCTTCGTCTATGTGCTGCGGCGCGTGCTTCTGGGCAGATTCCCGAGCCAGAGCCCCTCGCAAAAGCGATTCTTGCACTGGCGAAGCATGATTGCGGGCCGCGCTCGCCCCCGACGAAAAAGCCACGCGCAGAGCTTTTGCAGGCCAACTTGGCGCCAACGGCGCTGGCCGCTCAGGCAGTTTGGCTGGAATTCTGCGGTTGGAAAGCCAGCGCTCCTGGCTACGCGTCCGCGGTTCGCCTCTACGGGCAGGCAGCGCGTGCGAGCGGGAGCCCCCCGTGGCCTCCCGCGCAGGTGGCGCTGGATTGCTTTGTTGGTTTATTTCGCAGCTCGTCGTCGTTGAGCCGGTACTTGCCCCATCTCCGCACAGTGCTGTCGTGGCTGAGATGCCCAATCGGGCCACCGGCGGGCACGGCTCGAGTTGTTCGAGGCGCAGAAAAAGCAGGGCGAGCTCAACGGAGGCTGCGGGTGCGGGCTTCGGCTGAAGAGACAAGAGCCCTCGCCATGTGGTGCGTCAGTTTCGGCTTCCCATTGCTGGGGGATTCCTGGGTTGTCGCCGGGCATTTCTGCTTGCGCTACGGCGAGGTTCTCCAGATCGGGAACGAGCGTGCCCCTGTTCGCGTCGGCGTTGCGCCAGACGGGCGCCGCCACGTTGGCATCACTTTCGCGCAGAGAAAGTGTTATTCGGAGCCTGTGGAGGTCACGCGAACCTGCATCTGCAAACTGCAGGGTCGTGCCCTTTGTGGCGTTTGCGCTGTGGTCCGGCTGCGTCGCGACGTCCAGGCGCCCAACATTTTCTCAGGCATTGCTTACGCTGAAAGCTTGGAGATGCTAAAAATTGCCGCCGGCGCGCGCGGCTTTGCAAACGCAGCGTCCTGGGGCACCCGCGCCTTTCGGCTGGGCTGGGCTACAGAGCGCCTGCAGGCAGGTGGCCCGACTGCTCTGTTTTACTCAGGAGGCTGGCGCGGATTGACTGCTTTTGCGTACGCTTCTGCTCGCGCCAGAGGAGCCATAGCAGCGGCAGAGTTTCTTGTTGACCACTCTGACTCGTCTGAAGCTGGCGAGTGAAAAGCTCCTGCTTGCACTGGGCTCAAATATCCTCGCAGTCGCTTCGCGCAGCTGCCTGTCCCTGCCTGGGTGCACTGGGCCGCTATGGACCTCCCAGGTCAAGGCCCGCCAGCTGCACGATCCGTTCCGCCCTCAGTGCGTGCGGGAACGCGGGCAGCTTGAAGCGCTGCGACGGTAAATTTCCGTCGCCCCTAGATTGCGCAGCAATTTGGGGGGCAGGGAAATTTGAGGAACAGGGATGTGGTGCATTTGCCACTTGTTGCCTCATTGCCTACTGGCCTTCTTACTAGTGGGTTCACGCCCGTGGGCGCTCCCAAAGCGGGGCTGCGGATTCGTGGGGGGCCCCGGCGGTTCTCAGCAGGCCCTCCCTGGCGCCCTGCTGGTCTCTGTCGGGTGCTTTCTGTGCTCCGCGCCGTGGGCTGCGTTGCGGCCGGTGGAAGTCGGCGTGGGGATGCTGCGCCGCGCCCTCCTCCTCCTCTCTCGTCCTGCCTGGTTGGTTGGTTGATTGGCGCACTTTCGTGCGTGCCAGCGGCGTGTGGCCGCTCGGCGTGGGTCTGGGCGCGTGCCTGGTGCACAGCGTTGTCTCGTTGCCCACCCACTCCACCCTGCGCTGTGCTCCGCTGGCACGCACAACTGTACGGGGGTCCCCTATGTGCTGTCCGCGTTCCGCTGGCTTGGGGCCGTCCTGGACCTCCCAAGTCAAGGCCCGCCAGCTGCACGATCCGTTCCGCCCTCAGTGCGTGCGGGAACGCGGGCAGCTTGAAGCGCTGCGACGGTAAATTTCCCTCAGGAGGCTGGCGCGGATTGACTGTTTTTGCGTACGCTTCTGCTCGCGCCAGAGGAGCCATAGCAGCGGCAGAGTTTCTTGTTGACCACTCTGACTCGTCTGAAGCTGGCGAGTGAAAAGCTCCTGCTTGCACTGGGCTCAAATATCCTCGCAGTCGCTTCGCGCAGCTGCCTGTCCCTGCCTGGGTGCACTGGGCCGTTCTAGATCTCCCAGGTTAAGGCCCGCCAGCTGCACGATCCGTTCCGCCCTCAGTGCGTGCGGGAACGCGGGCAGCTTGAAGCGCTGTGACGGTAAATTCCCGTCGCCCCCAGATTGCGCAGCAATTTGGGGGGCAGGGAAATTTGAGGAGCAGGGATGCTGTGAATTTGCCACTTGTTGCCTCATTGCCTACTGGCCTTCTTGCGTTCACGCCCGTGGGCGCTCCCAAAGCGGGGCTGCGGATTCGTGGGGGGTCCCGGCGGTTCTCAGCAGGCCCTCCCTGGCGCCCTGCTGGTCTCTGTCGGGTGCTTTCTGTGCTCCGCGCCTTGGGCTGCGTTGCGGCCGGTGGAAGTCGGCGTGGGGATGCTGCGCCGCGTCCTCCTCCTCCCTCGTCCTGGCTGGTTGGTTGGTTGATTGGCGCACTTTCGTGGGTGCCAGCAGCGTGTGGCCGCTCGGCGTGGGTCTGGGCGCGCGCCTGGTGCACAGCGTTGTCTCGTTGCCCACCCACTCCACCCTGCGCTGTGCTCCGCTGGCACGCACAACTGTACGGGGGTCCCCTATGTGCTGTCCGCGTTCCGCTGGCTTGGGGCCGTCCTGGACCTCCCAGGTCAAGGCCCGCCAGCTGCACGATCCGTTCCGCCCTCAGTGCGTGCGGGAACGCGGGCAGCTTGAAGCACTGCGACGGAAAATTTCCTTCGAGTTCCTCCTCCTCCTCCTGGCCCTCCTCCTCCTCCTCGTCGTCCTCGTCGTCCTCGTCGTCCTCGTCCTCGTCCTCGTCCTCGTCCTCGTCCTCCTCCTCCTCGTCCTCGTCCTCGTCCTCGTCCTCCTCCTCCTCTGCTCCTCCTCCTCCTCCTCCTCTTCCTCCTCCTCCTCTCTCCTCCTCCTCCTCCTCCTCCTCCTCCTCCTCCTCCTCCTCCTCCTCCTCCTCCTCCTCCTCCTCCTCCTCCTCCCCCTCCTCCTCCTCCTCCTCCTCCTCCTCCTCCTCCCTCCTACTCTTCCTCCTCCTCCACTTCCTCCTCCTCCCTCCTCCTCCTCCTCCTTTTCCCCTCCTCCTCCTCCTCATCCTCCTTCTCCTCCTCCTCCACTTCCTCCTCCTCCTCCTCCTCCTCCTCCTCCTCCTCCTCCTCCTCCTCCTCCTCCTCTCTCCTCCTTTTCCTTCTCCTCCACCTCCTCGTCTTCCTCTTCCTCCTCCTCCTCCTCCTCCTCCTCCTCCTCCTCCTCCTCCATCACCCTCTAACATCATTATCCTCCTCCTCTTCCTCCTCTTCCCCCTCCTCCACCTTCTTGTCCTCCTTTTCGTCTTCCTTGTCGTCCTCTTCATCCTCCTCCTCCTCCTCCTTCTCCTCCCCCCCTGGTGCCGGCGGAGCTTGGCCTGCTCTTGCATCGCGGCGCCGATCGTGCCCAGGTCCTCCGCGCGCGCGCACGCGCGTGCCAGGAGCACGCGCGGGGCCAAGGGGCCGCGCGCGGGGGACCCGGCCCGGCCCCCACCACCTCGCGTGGGGAGCTTTTGAACGTGTGTCGGCCCTTGGGGACCTCCAGTGGTCAATGCGAAAGACGCAGCCGGTCCGAGCGGACAGAGCCACTCCTGCAGCTCGTCCCCAGACCGGACGGCACTTGGGAAGGTGGGCGGGTTTTCCGCCCGAAGGCGTCTGCTCATCTAGGGCACGCGCCGCCCGACAGGACGCTGCACTGTACCCCTTTGCAACCCCTCAGCCGCCCGATTGGGCAGGACCAGCCCGATTGGGCACAGGCGCCGCCGGTACTTGCTACCCCGCCCCGGGCGCGGGCGGCACACGACACCGCTCTCGGCACGGCACTCCGCACCGCACACAGACCAACACTCGGCACGGCACGACACACGCACCACCACACGGCCACAGCACCCAGCACGGCACCACACGCACGTACGCACGGCACCAAGCACAGCGCGGCACACACACACACGGCACCAATCACGGCACCACTCACGGCACCACACACGGCCGCACAGCGGCGCGACAGCGAAAGGGCGAGAACGAATCCATGAATCACCTTTTCGTGAGGGCCTCTGAATTCTCCTGTCACTGGACAAGGCCCATGGGTCATGAGAATTCTCACAACCCCCACGTTTGTCGCCCAAGCGCCGTCGCGCCAACTATGGGTCAATACGAAAGACGCAGCCGGTCCGGGCGGACAGAGCCACTCCTGCAGCTCGTCCCGATGTTGAGGCTCCTGTCCGTCTGGACTTCAATGCCCAATGTGCGCGCGTGTGTGACAGGACCTCCCGCTTGACCGCATATGGCCCCGAGAGGCGCGCTCGGAGGAGCATCCGCCGGCGGAACCCGACAGGGTGTCAATTTGATGGTTATTTTCCATCATTCGCGACCGCTCGAGGCCGTAAACTCGACAAGCCACTCGGCTGCCTGCAGAGAGCCTTTGGCTTGTGCTGAAGCATACCAAAGGCAGCCACGCCTCTCCAGCCTCCACTGAAAAACAACGCGGGGATACCGCCATGCTGGAGGGCCTCGTCGGCCCACCCTCGCCGAAAGGCGTGCGTGCCCCAGGATTCCGCCTTCGGGAAGCCCAAAGCAATGGCAGCGAGTTTCAGACTTGCAAGTGCACAGCTATAAGTCAGCCCTGGGAGAAAGCTCTCGGACTCGCGTTCCTTGAGAACGCAAACGCCGCAAAGCTCTCGCGTTTGCTTCGCACAAATACATTGACGAACCGCAGCAACTGTTCCCCGGCAGGCTTTCCGATGATGGAAATGGAGCGTTGCCTGCGGAACTCCTGCGACGTCGACGACGTCGACTGACGAATGCGCCGACCGCCGCGCCAGCGGCAGAACCTCGGAGGCATAGCGCATGCCTTGCTACGACAAAACTGTCTGCCAACAGAGGCTCACCGAGACTGTCGCGCACGTATCGTGCGAGGTCCCTAGTCTGCCTGGCGGAAGCCCTGGCCTTGAATCCAGGCTCCGTGCTTTTCGCTGCTCCTCGAGCGAGTGCTGAAGTATCCGCTAGGCTGCCCATTGGCGCACCAACGAGTCTCAGCACTGACCGGATTGACGAGACATACTTCATGAGCGTGCTCCCGTTCCTTACTGCGAACGCACAAGCGCCGAGCACGGTTTCCGATGGCGGCCAGGGGCTGCTCCTGCACGCCCGTTGCCACACGGCCCCACAAGCGCACAGCTGAGGCGTACTTGAGCGCGCTCCGGTGCCAGCCACGAAGCTCTCGAAGCACTAGCTCCTGGACGGCAGAAGTTCGGTCCACGTTCGGTAGGTTTTGGAGCCAAGCCGCCCTGTCGCCAGGTCGATCTGGCAGTTCAGCACAGCCAATCCTGTTCAGTTTTTGCAAGCTCGAGGCCGGCAGCTTCCCCAGCGCCACGATCGCGTCCGCCAAGGTGTCCGGACCGAGCAGCTGTCTGTCTCGGCGAGCGATCGCGAGGACCTGCAAGGCGGCCAAACCAGCTCCCACTGCAGCGTCAATAATTGCAACCTCTCGCGCGGGATTCTCCCGGCTGTGGGGCTGCTCTTGCTTGCTATCGGACCTCGGCGGAATTTGCGATCAATACCCAGCCAACAGTGGGAACACGCAAATGCTTTCAAGGACCGTCATTCCTTGCACATCCCATGGGCCAGTGATGCCTGCTCTTTTGAGCTCTTGCGCAAGTCCGATAGTGGCCTCTCTTGGCTGCACGGCTGGCGCGGTCCTTGACACAGCCGCCTGGACCCATTTGAGCACGGAGTCCTGCTGAGGTTCGGTTAGAGAGTCCGCCGTCCTCCTCCTGCCAACCAGCCGCAGGCGATGCAGGGAGCCGCCTGGCGCTCCGCGTCAACAGCCACTCCCAGCACGGCACCGCATACTACCTGCGACTGCGCGGTCTGCACCGCGGGGCAGAACGTAGCCAGCGCTGATGCGATGCCTATCCCCCTCCGCAGCCTGAGTGCGCCACCCAGGCCTCCGGAGGGCGTCATAGGCGCGCCTGCCGAGCGCTGCGTGCGATGCTGCCCCGGTGCGAGAACCATGCCACGCTACGCTCAAGAAGTATGCAACACTCCCCAGTCGCTCCCCCTTGACCGATCCGCGGCCGGGGGAGCTACATGGGACAGCCAGCCTCCGCCGCCTCCGAGCTGGACAGGTGAGCGAGGAATTTTGCGAAGCGGGCGTCACACTAGCGCACTGCCTCGAAAGGCTCAATAGCTGGACGAAGGTGCTCAAGGTATCCCTGGCAACCAGCTGGTTCACTTGGCCAGCACTGGTGCATTTCGGACAAAGGCCGCTCAAAGCAACCATGGCAGCCAGCTGGTTCACTTGGCCAGCCACCGGCGCCAATCGGACGAAGGGCGCTCAAGGCTACCCTGGCAGCCGGCTGGTTCACTTGGCCAGCCACCGGCGCCAATCGGACGAAGGGCGCTCAAGGCAACCCTGGCAACCGGCACCCGCCGCCCGGCTCATCTAGGGCACGCGCCGCCCGACAGGACGCTGCACTGTACCCCTTTGCACCCCCTCAGCCGCCCGATTGGGCAGGACCAGCCCGATTGGGCACAGGCGCCGCCGGTACTTTACCCCGCCCCGGGCGCGGGCGGCACACGACACCGCTCTCGGCACGGCACTCCGCACCGCACACAGACCAACACTCAGCACGGCACGACACACGCACCACCACACGGCCACAGCACCCAGCACGGCACCACACGCACGCACGCACGGCACCAAGCACAGCGCGGCACACACACGGCACCAATCACGGCACCACTCACGGCACCACACACGGCCGCACAGCGGCGCGACAGCGAAAGGGCGAGAACGAATCCATGAATCACCTTTTCGTGAGGGCCTCTGAATTCTCCTGTCACTGGACAAGTGGGTCATGGAAAAAAAGTCCACACATTGGGGGGTGCACGCCGTGAACGAATCAGGTCGTCGGAGTTCTGGGCGCGCGACCCCAGCCCGATGCCCATTGGCGGCGGGGGGGGGGGAATAAACGAGGCGTGACCCAAAATCGCAGGAACGGCCCTAAATAGCTACTGCGGACCCAAAGGTACTGAAACGGTGCGCCTTGCCTTGCCCAGACGCCCGCTGAAATCCATCCGACAGCTTTCGGGTGGACTGAATTGTGCAATCCTGGCATTTCGGCTGCCGAGGCTAAGCGCTTGTGGACTCCAAAGCCATCGCGCCAGAGTGACCCTCCAACCGCTTTCCTTTTCCAGCGTTAGATTTACGAGTCGAACCGAAAGCGATGGAAAAAAGATCCTCGTCGTCCTCGAAGAGCCCCTGCTCACGTCGAGGCTTTCCTGAAACTTTCGAGTCGGGGACTGAACATACGCCAGGCGTGAGTCCTAACGAATAACTCACCTGTCCTGAGTCGCCCAATTGGACTCCGCGGCGACGCCGCTGCCAGCGCGCGCAGAGGAGAGACAAGGGCGCCCGCTTCGCCTGGCCAGGCGCAGACGCCACCCTTGCGAGCGAGGAGCTCGCAGTGGCAGCAGGGTGCACTTGAGCCAAAGCCCACGACAACGGATCAACAAAAGTGACGACCAACGTCGGGGACGCTGGCGAGTGCCGACGGCGGGCCCTCTCGCTGGCGATCCGAAGGCTTCGCGACGACACCGTGCAGGTCGCGGGCCTGCGCGGGACCTCCGCGCGCGACTTTCTAGCACCACTTTCGATCTCGATCCATATGAGCATCGTCTAACCGACCCCCATCCCCACCGGCGTGGCCTGGGCTCCACTGGCCGATTTCCCCCCCTAGATGGGGATAGAGGCCGCTCCCTTCGGGCCTCGAGGGGTGTGTCCCCAACTGGGGTGGTAATTTGGTGGGGGTCTCGAAGGGGATGAGGATGGGGGGGTGGGGGTCGATGAAAGGATACTGATTATAATGCTCTTAACCAGCGACGATCCCAGGACCCCGCGGCCCCGCGAACCGGTCCACTTGCGAGGGCTCAGGGGGCGCGGGGGGGGGGCGCTGACCGAGTCCAACGTAGAGGCTTTGTGTAGAAGCTCTCAAGCCTGAAGCAATGGGAGCCTTCCAGGCCCGCGCTCATCCACCCGTCAGTGGCGATGGGCTCTGGGAGACCTCCGTCCAGGCCCGCGGCAGCGCGCCACGGAGCCGGCATCCCTCGTGCGCCTCGTGCTCTCCACCCTCGCACGGCCACACAAGTGGTCGCTGTCGGAGTAGGCTCGCGAGCCCACGCTGCAGCGGCAGGCCCACAGTCGATGGTAGGCCGCCTCAGGCGCGCCACCGCACCTGCTTGCCATCGCTCGGACGTCCATTCCCTGCGCATTTTTCGGTCTCGTGCGCGTTTTGTCTGCTCGATGGTCCAGGATGCTCCTCCAGGGTCCTCGCCGAGAACAAAATGCACACGTCCGAGCGATGCCAGGCTTGGGGCAAGGGGCGTCGACGGCCGCCCCGAACGTCTCCTGCTCCCGCTGCCTGAGCCAGCTGCCGCCCTCGGCGATCGCGGCTACGAGTTCCTCCAGTGCAGCGCCGCCGGGGAGGCGGCCCGTGACGCCGAGCAGCTCCCGCAGGGATGACGTGTCCAGCGCCGCCTGCCGCCGGAGCCCCTCCTGAGCATACGCCAGGCGTGAGCCCCAGGGAACAACTCAGGAATCCTGCCCTGGCTCGCCCAGCTTTTCTCCACCGCGATTACGGTGACGCCGCCGTCAGCGTGCGCAGGAGAGAGACAGGGGTCCCTTCCCGTGGCCAAGCGCAGACGCCACCCTTGCGAACGAGGAGGACGCGGTGGCGGTACTACGGTGCACTGGAGCCAGATCTCACGGTAAGGGAACAACAAAGATGATGTCAACTGTCGGGGATGATGATGAGTGTTGTCGACGCAGGCCCCCGCCAGCGTCCCGAGGCTTCGCGACGACGCGACGCATGGCTCGGGAGTTCGCGGGACCTCTGCGCAGTGGCGCGGGATGTTGAGCACCATTGTTTTTTAACGTCGGGATTTCGCGGTACCCCGTTTTGAATAGATCAGGCTGTTCACTGGCGACGATCCCAGGACCCCGCGACCCCGCGCGCAGGTCTCACGGCTAGGACTCTGGGGGGCGCAGGGGGGGGGAGGGGGAGTGCTGACTGCGTTGGCAGATCTTGCAAAATACGAACTCTCACTGCGCGCGCGGGCGCGGCGCCCTGCTCGGGCCCCACAGCCCTCGTCGAAAGTTGAAGCTGAATGGGGCAACGGCTGCAGGGAAAGCCTTGGATGTGCGGCTTGCCGATCGCTGCATGCGCTGCGGCAGAGACGGCCTGCGTGATTGGGTCTGCCTTTCTCCCACGCCCCCGCGCCCCCGAGATGCAGTGAAGCACTCTGGCGAAGAAACAAGCTACCGCTGGGGAAGAGGCCAGGAGCTCGTGAATCGCGGATCGGAGAAAGCACGTCGTCCTGGCCCCTACGTGGCCCTGGCAACCCTGGCAAAAATGATTTTTGGGATCGAGGCTTTTACAAAGTTGCCAGACCTGTCGGGGCCTCTACCAGGAGTCTCGTCGCAACAAGTGGGCCCCCATTCGAGAGTTTGGTCAAAGCGCATCCCTGGAGATGTCGGGGGGTCGATTCTTGACCCCCGAGTTCCAAGGGCTCAACAATCAGCGAAAAGCAAGGGACGCCTTGGGCCAGAACCACCTCTGGCAAACTCTGACAGGAGGAAGAGGAGGAGGAACATGAGGAGGAGGAGGAGGAGGAGGAGGAGGAGGAGGAGGAGGAGGAGGAGCGTCTTGCAGAGCACAGCCTGCTAGAAAGGAAGCAGCGGAAGTGCAGAAACACTACCAGACATGCTGAGCTCAATCTGGATGGGGCGGGATGCGGGCAGCTGTCTCTGCTCATGCTGTTCGGCCCCTGACCCTACGGCAGAAGGAAACGAGCACAAGCGTCGCGCGCGCATCGGTAGGGAAACCGCCCGTGCCCATCGAGGCAGGGATCGGGAGGCCGTAGCCTCAACAAGGAATCAATGAGTTAAGCCATGTGGTACGTATGCGGCTTTTCGGCGATGCGCGAGTGATCCTAGACAAGTGTGACCTTTGGTGCGCGGATTTTGGGGGCGTGATGGGGGGCCAAGCCCAAGCGCGCAAGCTGCCGATGTTGCGTTGCATTCAATGATCGGTTGGCCCCACTGGGCCCGCACCCCAGGTCATTCTGGCGAAGGGTCACTCTTACGTGTTTTTTCGCGGCTAGCGAAGCCACTGGCAACTGGCACCTCCCAAGGTCACTTTTACGTGTGGTCGAGTCTCACGCGATGACCACCACTCAGCGTCCCCGGCGGCCCAAATCCACCGGAAGCCGTTTGCGTCCACCTCTGCTTCTGTAGCATGCGTCACCTGGTCTCCTCTGCCCTGGCACCGTCTACGGTGGCAACTTATGGGAGCATCGACGGTGGCCGGCGCCAATCGACGCTAATCGGCGCTAAATCGACGCTCGCTCTGCGCTTTCTCATCGACAGTCTACCTCTAACGCACGGTAGTGCACTCGAAATGCCAAATGGCGAAGACATACGAGAACCCCGTGAGCTGCCACCGAAAACCGCCTGCACGCGGTCATTCATGGGCTCAAATCGTTCCCGCGTAACCTCGGAATGACTATGAGCACTTTGAGCATATCCCGCCATTGCATTACACCGCTGACTGGATTCTTCCGCGCGTCGGAGGAAACATGTGCTCGCGTTCGAGGAGGAGGCGGAGCGTGCTGAGGAGAGTCCTGCCCCTTTACCGCGGCGCTTGCGGCGGGCGGGGCCTGCTCTCAGGCGCAGAGGGC